CCCTTCACAGGAAAGAATTTCTTCCTCTTATCTAATCTACATCTACCCTCTTTCAGATTAAAGCCATTCCCCTTTGTCCTGTCTCTACATGCCCTTGTAAAAAGTCCCTCTCCAGAATCCTTATAGGCCCCCTTTAGGTACTGGAAGCTGCTCTGAGGTCTCCCCAGAACCTTCTTTAATCCAGGCTGAACAACCCCAGTTCTCTCAGCCTGTCTTCCTCACCCCTTTTCTCAAATGTTTCCTTCTCCTCAGGGAAGCATACGTCTTTGAGCATATTCTTGAGCACCTATCTTTGCATATGCTGCCCATTTGAAACTGTCTTGCCTAGCTCAGTGACCAGAGTAAATGCAAGCAGCTGCTCTGGCTCCAAAACCAAGTGTTTCTTGCTCAGCAAGCAAGAGTTGGCAAAACTGGGTCAGAAGCTGCATGTGAGTGATGATGTAGCTGTCTGCAAGGAACTCGCATCCCAGGCAGATTGGAAATATTTTGAAACATTCAGACATTGGGTTAATTTGCCAGTAACAGAAAGGAAAAGGATGCATTCACCCTTTCTACACTACATAAATGAAAGGTTACTGTAAACACCCACCTTTGTCTTGTACCAAGGCTTATGCATTATTGTAAAAGTATTTATTTCCATGCATTTACCCCAACATATTACAGCACACTTATTGTCATCTGTAATATTGTCATCTCGCACTTTGACAACCTGAGGTCTCCCCTTAATTCCCATCTTCTCAGCTAAGAATGCTGCTTTCAATTCCTTCCTCTCTGTCCCTGACATGTACAGATGCTGAAGGGCAAGAGGCAGCTGGCTGTCCTAGCTGTATGTAGAGGAACAAATACACAAATTCATAGAAGCAAAACATTGATCTCTAATTTCTGTGTTACCATGGGTAGAAGTTGACTAAGTTGCCACAGTTTAGTAATTACCCTGGTTATCTGAGCCACACGCATATTCCTAATTTGTGCCCTCATAAAAATAAATAGGGTATCTTACATAGTTCATTTTGCAAGCGGATTATTTCTGACACTGCTCACTGTCAGTTACCATAGCTTCAGGAATGAATGGTGATCTGTTAAATCATGGGTGAACTTGATTTCATGGCTCTGTTCATCAGCTATTTTGTCATTTTTTGTCTCACCTGAATCTAAATGAACTCCTTCCTATCCTGAAATAGACTCATGGGCACAAAACCTCTCTGGAAACTCCCAAACCTTCCCCTGTCTGCATCGTTAGCAAACTACACAGATATTTCAAGAACCTGAAAGAGCTTCCCTTGCCTCAGCTGTAACTTCTTTAAAGTGACACACCTGAGCAGAGGTGTAAAGCACAAAACAACAAAATAGTATTTGCTTATTATGTTCACTTTTTATATAGCACAGCAAAAGAGTGAAAGCCTAGTAATCACTGAAATAATAATCCTATACATCTCCAGAGTGCGGGAGCACTGACTGCCCATGGCCCCAGTTCTTCAGTCTCTTTTAGCTGATGAAATAGCTGGGTGAAATGCAGTGAGCACACTCTTGAGTTCAGCACAGGAATCTGCCTTTCTCCAAGTTCCTTGGCACCGGACCCAGCTCCCCCAAAAAAGGGCAAAAGGGGCATTTCTTGTGTGCATTGTAATCCCTACAGTCGGGGTGCTGTGCTCATTTTTTAGGAAAATGGCATTCGTTTGGAGAGGGGCTCTATGAGTATTTGCCAATATCTCATAAAATGTCTCTGAGACTATGTTCAGCTTGCCTGCGCTGCTTTCATCCTTTTCCTGTCTGTATAGCTTCATCTCCATTTAGATGAGCCTCCTCAGTGTATTTCCTAAGAAAATTAAGTCAAATTAAGTCAGATGACAAAATCCTTGCTCTAAAATAGTTTAGACCTTTAAAAATAAAAAAAATAATCACCAATGCAATTTCACATTTCTGCTCTTACACAATCTTCAAAACATTATTCCTGGTTTTACTCATCTTCACTGTTCGTAGTTTTACTGAATCAAACCTTAAAGGTTACATTTTTCTTCTGCTAAAACTCTGCAATGTTTCAGGAATTTGAGTTTATAGTATAAACTTAACTGAACATGTAAGGAATCTAGTAGGACAAGTCTAATACCAAAGAATTTGTTTCTTGTTGAAAAAACAAATAACTCATCATTAGGTAAACCAGAGCCTTCTCTCTAGTCTAGCATGTATCTCTTCCTGCAATTTAACTGTTTGAGGACTATCCTAGAATTGGAAACCAGATTTGAGCTTAAAAACCAAAGCAAAAATAACAAACTCAAATTTATAGCAGAAAAAGCAGTAATTATTGTAGTTACATTTAGTTAGTAGCAAACACACATTTTAAACCACATAAATCCTAAGCAATCTAGAAATTGCAATTGAACCATTAGTCTCTCTAAGAGAGTTGACTTAATGTACAATTGCAAAATTCCTGGCTATGTAATTACAGCAGTTGGAGCTGCATAGCCTCAAGCTCACAAAATTTTTATTTTGCTATCTACAGAAAAAAAAAAAAAAGGAAAAAAAAAAAAAGAATTTCAGGCCTTGCTAGACCATTTCCTTTAGTCCCAGAGCACCCTTAATTCAGAAAGTTGTTCTGGGATTTGGCCCTATGGGTCCTATTATTTTTATTAGGAACCTGAAATAACTGAGCAAATGATACCAATTTTAGAGGAATGTGTCGAAATAGCAAATAAAAACCATGAGTAGGTTTGAACAAATATCACATCATTGCTGTTCTAGACAAGACTAACACAGTATTATCAAATACCCCTGAAGAGGCTGAGTTTGCTTCAGAAAGGCACCATGACTCCATGACTGAGGCACTCAAGGGTGAACAAAGATCCTGTGCTTGGGTCTGCCCATAGTCACATAGAAAATCACGGACAAGTTCCTGGTTCATCTTTCTTTTTCTCTTACTCATCTGGTGTCACTCTGAGGAGCCTCCATTGTGACTCAGTGCCAAACTGCACTTCTGCAGCATCTAGAAGAGAGCAAAGACACTTCCTACCCTGGGCAACCTGAGGTTTTTGGAATAGAGATTTTAGTTTTCTGCATGGCTTTAGAGACTTACATGTAAGAAGTCTGTGATATCAGTAGAGGTTTCCAAGAAAAGACCCGAAAAAGATATCAATTATCCAAAACCATGACAAGCCATCTGAAAGAGCATGTGGTTACAGATACAGTTTTATGTAGCTTTAGGTGAGACAGCTCATATTATTTCTGCGTTACCAGGTAATTACCTCCTGTATATGTAGAAATACTGACGCTTGCCCTTTGTCTTCTCTCTCAACCTGTTCTGTTTTGAAAGATAGATCCCATCAGAGATTTTGTCTCCCAAAACTTCCTGAAGTAAGTGAAGGTTAGGAGGACTTTTGGCCTTAAGATGCCCAGAAAAATAAATTAGGAGTGTGATGGAGAACGCTAGAGGCTCTTTCCAAGTCTCTGCGTGGAAAATGCTGCTTTGCTTGACTGTGCACGCCTGCCTTCAAACTATGGTGTGGTCTGGAAAGGGGTGAGGTGGAGAGAGAGACAGCGCAGCACAGAGATGAGCAGATGTATGATGCATTGTCAGCCCAACGCTGACACTCAGGACTCACAAGGCAAATCGAGCACTGTCATGCCAGGTAAAAATATTATGGAAAGAGGGTGTCCTTTTGCCTTAGACAGGATTTCAGAGCACACATGCAGAGCAGGGAATGTGATGTACATGAACAGTGATGAGGAAATGGTTTAAAACCAGGATGAGAATAGAATAAGAGGAATTTCTGTGAATGACACAGTCATTAGGAAATTAAAACCAGGTTATTTTAAATGTGGCTAAAAGTGGACATGGCAGGCATAACCCAGACTGAAGCTGATATGTCTCTATAATATGCTGACACAGTCTTGAATGTAAGCACCACAGAACTTTGGGGATTTTTTTTTTTTTTTAAAGGTTAAGTATTGATTACATGCTATTCTTCCTCTTTTTTTCCCCCGACAGTTTGCTTTTGGGGGAAGGTCTGTTGCTTTTCCCTACCATTTTTTTTCTATATATTTTTGACAAGTAGACTTCTGTTTCCTCTCTTTTCTACTAATCCTCTTATATGCACTTTTTTTTTCAGGATTTGAAACCCCAGTCCTAGTCTGCAGTTAAACTGACATTAACGAAAGAATATTTACCTGGACAGACCCAGTGGGCTGGCACTTGTGTTCTTGGGCTCAGCTGTGGTGAGAAACTTCCTAGGCAAGATGGTAATATCCAAAATCAAAAGAGTTGCATGGGTCATACTCATCCGAGAACAGTGTTAGAGAAGATAACACCATTATCCAGGGAAAATATAAAATTAGCCTTGAAGCCCATGTCACTTTATATGACAGAAAAGAGCCTTTGGGCAGTCTCGACCAGCTTGCAAACAAAATTCATATTAAAACATTAGCTAATTTATGTAAATGTATCTTCACTGTACTGAGCTGGGTAAACCCAGCTACAGCTATTCCTCACTATGAGGTTTTTGCTGTTTGTTTGCCATGCCAAGGAGAGCCTGAGGTTGCCAAAGCAGCATTTTAGAAAAGAGACTCATTGCCTTCCAGATGCTGGTACCACTAAAACCCCTTTTGCCTCCTTCTTAAATGAAAATAAGTTGTACTATGCTTAGAATTACCCACTCTTTCAGCATTTTCATGAAAGAGAAGTAGAGCTCTTGGGCAGCTCAGCCCAGCAGAACTAGCAGAAAGAGAACATTAATGAGCCTTCTGCATCAATAACTTTCACAGAACTGAAAACAATTCATTTAGAAGTGGAATGAAGCCATAGAAGAGCACTTGACTTTGGCATGACACTTTTCCAGTCAATGGGGTACAGACAGGGCAAGTTTTCATAAAGCCAGGCAGGACTGACATCGCAGAGGTGATGCAGCAATTCAGAAAACAGAAAGCTCCCTCTCTGTAAGGTATGGACATGGCGTGTTCCCAATTTTGTTTACGCCACACACAACACCATGTGGCTCCACTGTTGCAAACAGCCTGCTCCTCCCAGCTCTCTGGATACTGCATCATACCCAGCTCTTCTCCCAGGATGCATGGGTAGTTATGCAAGCAATGGAAGCAAGGAGTGCTTGCTGCCTTTGAAACGCTGGCTGTCATGTGGGGCTTCAGCTACTAACTGCTGAAGTTGCTCTTGAAGTTAGTCCCTGCAGTAACCAAATGCCTTTAGAAAACAATTTGCAAGTGAGCCATGTCTGTACTTAATACTGAATACCAGGGTTTCTATTTCTAGAAGGCTATTTCTATTTTCATGTATATAATACGGCGAGGCTATAATCAGAAGAATTATATCTACTTACAATCCTCTCTATAAATATTTAATACGTATAAGATAGGCTTTATTAACAATGTCCACAACTATCTTTTAGTTCACAGACTGTGTTAAACTTCTGCCACTTCTAAATAGATTTTTTTTCAGTACAGTCTTTCAGTGAAATTTAGAAAGTTTCCGTGGTCAGGAGGTAGTGGTATCTCAAGGTTTCATTTTCAAGTTTCAGCATAGGTAAGTAACAGCATAGATTTTGTAGAATTTTATAGTTACGTAATTCTCACTTCACAGTTGCATCATCTGATGCACCTTTCAGGTTAATCCTGATTGATAGCAACATAAATGAAAACAGGGTTTAGTTCTGTATTTAAATTAAAATTAATACACTGCAGATAAAGACAAATACTATGTACTTAGGCAAAAAAAGAAAAGTAGCAGGCTTGGTGGTGGTGCTGCTGCTATTTCCATTGAGTTGCATTATTTGTGATTACCTTAGCTGAACACCACCTCAAAGCACAAAAAGATTTACATGCATATGAAAGCTCATCAATATTACACTTATATTTGTTAATTCTCTAGAAAAAATAAGACACTTTGAAATACTGTATCATCTCTAGAATTCTCTGTAAACTGAACAGGGACCTGGATACCTGCATACTGTTAAACTACCACATGCATCCCCAAAGGCCTTCCTTTTATTCATTCCCACCCCAAATGTAGACCTCATGAACCTGAAATCCCTGAGCTACCTTAATTTGAGACTTATACCCCAGAAGGATAGAACTTTAATGGATGCTATTGTGAGGAGAGCATATGGAGAAGGCAGATGAAGTCTGAAGACTGACATCCATAAAGCCTTACGTATAATTCAGACCTAGGTTACAAGTGTGAGGAGGTAAATAATGATGTAATTTACCTTAAGGAATTCTTCCTGGGCATATTTGAATTGACATCATGCACAGTAAACTTTTTCTAGCCACCGTCATGTCATGACACCATCACTGGCTCAAAGGTGGCTTCCCCAGCACACATCCCCCTGGGGCCAGCAAAGGCTTCTTAACTCTCCCTTCATATATTAAGAAGCTTTACACCCTGATATCAACAAGTGACAAGACAGTAATACTTTTCTTTCTGCTAGCATACCTTGAGATCAGTCCTGCTGCTCTTTTCCAGAAGATACGGGTTAGCTGTGTATGTCGAAGAGGAAGGGAGATCTTCCAGAGATGTCCAGTGGTACTAATCCAGGAGAACTTGGGCTGAGATGAAGTACACAGTTGGTTCACCACAGTGTCATTGGACAGGTGCAGTCACGTAGACAAGACAGGGTAATGCTTCCGTCTTTAGAAATGGTTGCAGTCACCTTCCTCACCCTGCTCCTGTAAGCAAAACATAAATAGAATAAAGAAAAACTCTCATTGAATTAATAAGGAAGGGATTAGATAAACTGGTCAGTGAAGAGGGGTGGAGGAAATATGGATTATTTGAAGAACATCACCAGCCTGATCAACAGCCTACTGAATATTAATGAAAGGTTTTCTACTGGCTCCGACTGGTTTTTCCAAATCTTTCACATCACTTGCAAACATGGGCAGTAATGACAAGGTATTTTATGAAACCTTTCTTCTCTCATTTCTTCCCCTCTTCCTCTCCAACGTGAGGTTAATTACATCTTAATCCTACCTCTAGCCACCTGTACTGGCACTACATGAATCTTCACAGGAACCTGCTGTTTGCTGGCCCCTAAAGGACAACATGAAGGTAAAAAGTCTGACACGTGCTTTAAACATGCTGTACCTGACATGAGGTGGTTGATGAACCTTTGGAACCTTTTTATTTCTCTGTCTTCTCTTGGTTTGCCTGCTCTCCTCACCCTGCAATCTTAGTCTAGGGGAGGGGTATAAATTATGACATAGTTAAAATGAAACACTCCCTTTTATTCAGGTGAGTCATCTGCAGGTATCCAGAAAATGTACAGCGTGAAAATTATCAGGGCATTAGGAATACAAAGTAGGTCCTTAGAGTGCCTTTGGAAAAATAAATATGGAGCGCCTCTAATTTACAAAGACAACTCATTTCCTACTCTTCACAGTCGCAGACTAGAATAATGAGATTTCAAAGCTTCCTGTGGGTTTGCTACACACAGTGGTGTGCTGCCACGTTTCTTCAAGGACAGCCCAGAAAGCAAACTGATGCTTGGCTCCTCCTCTGACCCCGTGGCAGGAGCTGTCCTTGCAGCAGCTGGTGTCTGGCACAACTCTTATTTCCAGCAGAGCAGGCTGCCAGAGCCCCACCTTTTCTCCACCTTCCCCTCTCTCAACACAGATGCATGACAAGGGAGAACAATAGTTCTGCAGAGACCCATCTTTTCTCCTAATACAAGTTGTCTATCACAGAAAGGCCTTAATAGTCACAAAGGGTCTAGCATATAGACAACTATCTCTTTAGGAACTAGGCACATGTCCGTAGAGATTTAAAGGAATACATCAGTTTGGTTAATTTTTATACTTATTCATAATATGATGAAATATTAAAATAATCCACAGCTGTACATACAGTTTTTTCTTTTACTGGAATATAACAAATTCAGGTGTAAGTAATTCTAAAATGCATTAGATCAATGCCTGTGATAACTATGGATGTGCTTTCACAGCATTGGCTGGTGTTTTAAATCCAAGTGTCACAAAAGCCCACATTAATGACCATTAATGGACCAAAACGCACATGGAAGCCTTTGCAAATTTTCACTCAAGATGTATTTTGAAACCTGTCTACCTGTCTACAGCTTCCAAGAGAAAACGAAAGATCACAGAGTGACATTTCACTTGTTCATGTATACTTTGCATTTGACACACCATAACACCCCAGTGGTTATGAAGCAAAGGCTAGCTTGAGTCAGACGCTGTAGGTGTGCACAAGAATGACCAGCTGTGGATCTTGCAGCAACCACTGTGGCCTGAGTCATTGCTTCTGTAGAGGTTTCTCAGGGTGCTCAGTGCTGGTCCTCCTTGCATATGCAGAAGATATCCTTAGGTCCTGCCCTGCTGAGGGAGCATGGTCAGCTCCTGCCTGCAAATGTTTATGTGTGAAAAACAGAAAGTGTCCATGCCCTTCCCCACCACAGCCTTGGCTCACTGCTACCGAAACCTTTCTCTGTCGGGTTGCCCAATCCTAGCTGAACCATTGCCAAGCTCACAGCATACCTTAAACAACAGGTAGGCCTCCAGAGCACGGTCACCCCAGCACAGGTATAACCTTCCCCTTCTGTGAGATCTTAATGTCATAGGGGAGTATGTGTGCAACTGGAGGCGTGGCATTTTTAACCTTTCAGGAAAGAATGGTATTTGCAAGTATCACTGCAAATTCAAATACCTTGCCACCATGTTTTCAGTTTTAACGTGGCTCCTTACAAAGTTATAAAATACTGTTCATTTATACATTACAATTGCATTTCCAAACTGCTGTCTAATACAGATCTTGACAATTACATTTGTTACCCTACTGCTTTATGAACACCTCATTCCTTCCTGATGAATGAAGATCAAGCATGGCTAAACCTAGAATTTTCGATGGATGTAACATAGACTCCAAAATACATGCATTTATCCATACATACATAATTTCACAATTCTAGAGTTTTGTTTTCTTTGGGGTGGGTTGGGTTTTTTTTTTTGCATACTGACTTACTTGGAAGCTCCAGATGCCTGGGGCTTCTCCTGAGACCTGACCAGATGTTCCTCATTCAGCTCTGGGGCCCTCAGCACAAGACAGCCATGGACCTGTTGGAGTGGGTCCAGAGGAGGGCCACAAAGATGATCAGAGGAAGCACCTCTCCTGTGAAGACAGGCTGGGAGAACTGGAATTGTTGAGCCTAGAAAAGGTTCTGGAGAGACGTTATTGCAGCCTTTCAAAAGTTAAGGGAGCTTATAAGAAAGATGTGGACAAATTTTTTACCAGTGTCTCTAGTGATAACACAAGGGGTAACAGTTTTAAACTACAAGGGGGTACATTTAGATTGAACATAAGGAAGAAATTCTTCACTATGAGGGTGCTGAGATACTGGCACAGGTTTCCCAGAGAAGCTGTGGCTGCCCCATCCCTGGCAGTGTTCAAGGCCAGGTTGGATGGGGCTTTGAGCAACCTGGTCTAGTGGAAGGTGTCCCTGCCCATGGGAGGGGGTTGAAACTAGATGATTGTTAAAGGCCCTTTCCAACCTAAACCACTCTGTAATTCTCGAGTGCCCAAGTAAGGATTTGGATCTGTGTTTGTGCACTCAAGTTAGAGTATCTGTTTCATCACTGACATAACAGGATGTTTGAGGTCAACTCATAACTGAACACCAGGATTCAGAACACTTATTCCTAAGGGAATCAAAATAGAGTACAGCAGCTGAGCCAACAAAATAGAATAGGAATTTGTCCCTTTTTTAAATTGTATCAACAGAAGTTCAAAGTTAAATCCGTGGTTCTGCAGGGATCTGGTAAGCAAGAGTATGATCAGAAAACAGACTGTGGAAAAGTCAGGGGAGGAAATTTTGATGAGCGTGGTTTGTTTAACAGTCTTGTGACAACCTGTAACAAGAAAACAGCCAATGAAGGTCTTAATAACATTTCAGTTAAAGGATTAAGGCCTGGAAAAGACTAATGATTGAGAAAGGGAAGAGAGAAATAGGCAGGAAAACAAACCCAAACCAAAACAACAAAAATTCCCCAAGGTCTCACTGCAAAATTAGGCTTTAGAACATTTTTATCCAGCAGCTCTCCACTGGGAGGCCTCTGGCAAAGCTCCCTGGGGACATGGGGCTAATAGTTCTCCAATGCAGCTCTGGGTGGAGGGGTAAACTCCTTTCTCAAGGTGGTGAAGTAAGCAGGGTGTCACTACTTCCTGGAAAAGAGAACAGGCTGGCTTTATTTTCATCATGCTATCTGAGTTTGTAATCCCCAGCTATGCTCTAAGCAAAGCCAAAGAGCTTTTTACTTTTTACTTCAAATGGGAATGAGCTGTGTGGGCATGAAGAGGGTGCTCTGGGGAGGCGGACGATGAAAGATCCTGCTAACACCATCATAAAAGCGAAGCTGCAGCAGGGAGCTGAAAGGACGCCCTGTGTAGTTTTATTCTCAAAGCTTCCAGTTTTGGTGAGAGAAGAGGTGCAAAAACAAGCAAAAGGGTTTAGAATTCCTGAGCTCGTGGCTGCTTTGATGAGCTGGAGTGGCCAGGTTGAACCCACCCACAGCCAGAGGTGTCAGCTGTGACATCAGTGGGGTAAGGATTTCAGTTGCTTGTGAAGGAGTTGTGTTTTTGTCTCTTGTATGACCAGGCACTCTATGTTAAAGAAACATAAAGAGAAAACACCTGGGCAGCAGAATGATCCTTAGTTCAGTCCTGAACGTGATGGCTGGGCCCCAAAACCAATAACCTCTTGCTCAGACACCTCTGAATCACAGCAGGGAGGGAAGCCCCAGCAGAAAAGGGCTCTTTTGCCATCCAGTGGGTCGAGGGGGAGGCAAACAGAAAGCCCAAATAGACATGCCCTAAATATGTTTTTTGTACCCTAAATATGTTTTTTGTACATTGTGTTCCTACACTTTAGAGACATTGCTGAGAAACAGAGTTTACAAACTAGGGAAAAGTTTGTAGCTGTAGTGATGATATTTATAGTTTTGTAACTTATTTGCAGCTTTGTGAAATTTATCTGGGTAAGTGGCTGTTGCAATCTAAGGCAATGGCTAATGTGAAGCTATGAGTGCAAGGCTAGTGGTTATGCTTAGCTAGCTTGGGAGGGGATGGTAGTTTGTCCTGAAGACTGTATCAGCATAGAAGGCAGAAAAATAACAATTTCCCTGCCTCCTTGAAGATCCATGTCCAGCTCCCCATTCAGTTCAGTTCAGTTCAGCTGATGGCTGTGGGTAGTTCTCAGCTTTAAAGCATAGTTCTCAGCTTTAAAGCACTGCAGAAGTTCTGCAGTTGCAGAGTCCCTTGGATGGCTGTGCCGGCTGGGGAGCAGCCAGCTGAGAGCATAGGGGCTCTCAGCAGAGCTGGCAGGGCCCATGGAGATGAAGCAGCAAGAGGCACGGCAGGCAGAGAGCTGAGCAGCAATCAGAGCATCACTTTACACAGCAGTGTATTGCCCAGCAAATCTTAGCTTTCACTTACAGCAGATTATGGGAAAAGATCTAGCCTAGAAATTACAACCTCAGAGGAAAAGACTATGAACTGTTATAGTCAAAGAACAACTATAACAGTCAGTTACTATCACTCTCTTATCTACCTGGTCATACATTTGTTCTCTCTTAGAAAAAAAAAACAACAAACCAAACCCAGAACTTTGTTAGCTGATTCATATTTGCCAACCAGAGAAATTAGCTGGTTCAGTATAATTTTCCCACTTGTCCAGGTGAGGCCTCAAGTCACCACTTTGTGAGCAACTCCCTTCAGTTTGAACCCAGACCTTGTTGCTGCCAGTCATCCTGGCAGGAAGGTTTCTTCTGAACAGGAGCAGTGTTCCAATGGAATGACTGCACTCTTCCAGAGGATCCCTGCTACCACTGATATGTAGGATGAAGGATATGTAGTCTGAGGATATACTAAGGCGTCGTCTACCTTATTAGTTAGAAAAAGAGGCAAACAAGGAGATCTAGGAAGAAAAAAGGGCAATGTATTGAAATAACTAAACACCATCCCAGACTCCAACCAACTTCTTGCCTCTTAGGAATTATGAATAATGCTGGGTACATGCGATGAAGCTTAATTTAGACTGCAGTTTCATAGTCACTTCAAGCTAATCTAAGCTGGCACAGTTCATGAAAGAAGCGGTCTAGCCTGCCTGTCTGGCCCCAGCAAAGCTATTTCCTCTTTTTCCTCCCCCTTCACATGCAGAGCAGCTTTGTCTCTGTGTAGCATGCAGTGGGGCAGGTGGTTCACCTAGAGGACCAACCCTGCTGCTCCCAAGTACATTTACAGCTCCCAAGCATGCTTACAGCCTCCTCATGCCACCTTCCAGGTTACAGCCATCCTAATAACAACAGGGGAAATACCCTATAAACAGACAAGTAGGGTTTTGCTGTTTGAAGCCCAAATAGGCTTCCTGGTTTGGGGTGGGGATAGAGGGTGGTGAAAGTGACATCTTCAAGGAGCAATGACAGTACAGCAATATAGCCCAAGTACTGTCAAACAGGAGAGCTTATTGAGACACTTGGACTTGAACCCCCCTGGAGTCAGCACTCATTCCAGCATTTGCTACCTTAACACTGTCTTATGCTATTGCTGTGTAACATATTAACTTCTAGAGGTCACAGCCCATCAGCCCTGATCCACTGGTGACTTGTCCAAATTCAGGCAAGCAAAATGCTATCGAGTGTAGCAATGGAGAAAAAGGTGCTTTTTTCATATAGATATTATAATGTTGTTTGGGCCATTAAGATATCAACACCCCTCCATTCCTGTGTTTATCTTTGGTACTGTAATGGGACATTGGCCTCAGTTAATGGGTTGATGTTGTTGATCCTCATCAGGGAGCCCAAGCTGAACTTGGCAAACAGAGACAAAGTATGTGCCCATGTCTGTACACCTAATTCTACTTTTCATTAAGTTTATATGCATTTTCGTGAGTGCAACCTCAATCTCACAGCTGAACTCTATGCTTGGTTTAAGGTAATTGCACAAAATACATCTGAAATCCAGCAGTCTTATTTAGGATAGTTTAAACCAAATTACAAATAAAGGAGTGGTGAACAAAAAGTCCCCTAGAATTATTTCTGAGGTCACATGCT